AGTCTATCATTTCCAAATTAAGGGCAGCTAGTGCAGGAAGCCGTTGTGTAGCTTTAAGTGAATATCTGAAAATCCTTACTTTTTGTTGTTTATTTTAAAGTATACTTGTAATTTTTTGCTGGGGGGGGGGGGAGTTATCTATATAGATTATTTATGGGAATATTACATTGAATTGGCATCTATTAGGCCTGCTTAGCGACAGTTAGGCTTAGCATAAGAGGGGTCTCCTTTAAAGCATTTCAGTTTGTATACGAACGTATGATTAAATTGCTTTGAAGTAGAGGTAAGCTTGCAATTATAAGTTTCGTGTTGAGATAGTGATAGAACAAGGTCCAGATGGCTAGTATATTATACATATAAGAACATGCTTTGTTAAATATATGCAAACATCCCAATCCATTCTCATGTTCTTTCTAATGTATTTATCCTTACATTCTTTAATAAACCATGTTTTTATTTTTATTGTGTAAACAGTGATTCATAGTTATTTTAAAACAGATATCTGATTGTTTATTTAAAATTGGTTTTAAGTTTGTCTGTCGTTCACATTGATTATTTCTTTAGGAATGAGATTTCCTACACATATAATTAGCACTAGGACCTCATTTGTTTCCAGTTAGATTTTTAACTTTTCAACCAAATAACCACTTTTTTTTCTAGCACGTATTTTAGGTTTACTCGAATATTTTATTGCTGTACTTAAAATATACATTTCCACATACATTATACACCAGGTGTCAGTGTATCCTTTATTTGTTGTTTTTCATTATCAGCATATACAGGTTCTTAAAGTTTCTGTAAATTTTTGCAGACCAGAATGAATTGGTGGCAATACTAAAATTCTAAAGAAAACATTGAGGAGAAAGACAAGAGGTTTGAAAAGGACACCCAGAACATCTAGGAAGAACCGCAAGATGGTTACCATAGAAAGAACCGCAAGATGGTTACCAAGAACAACTAAGAGCACAAAAGAAACCGTTGATTAAACACGAAACATTTCCTTATAGCTACATTATGCTGTTTTTTCCAAATTGTTCGATTTTGTTCAGAAGTGTGATATCTCTGTTTTAAATACTTTATACATGTCTTAAAATTTCACTGACTGAAAAAATCGATAGTAAAAGACTTTGAAACAAAAAACGATTATTAATTGAGAATGAATTTTAGATTTGATGTGCGCTTGTATAAATCAAAACTCTTAAAAAAAAGTATTTGTTTGGCAGTTTGTTCTTGTTTTGGATATTTCAGAATGTTCTTCAAATCCAACAAGGCAGTAAAACAAACCCAGTACTTTTACCGGTTATCTTTATCCGTGACTAGAGATGATGGGTGAACTTTTTTTCAAACCTGAATGAACTGTATATTGTCCACTTGGGCTTATCTCTTGGAACTGGAGCCAGTATGACGCTCTGTTTCTGGCTTCAAGTAAGTTCCAAGAGCCTCTATCAAAGTTTCATCTCCGTGTCAGTATTTTCTCTCTCTCTTTTGCTCCTGATAAATTTCACTACATCATCAACATCGTGACCATCATTGTTCCTCAACAAACTGTAAATTGTCACAGTTGTGTAGAGACAGTGGGAGTGATAAACAAGATTGTAACTGTGTAAACAGTTTACCAACTTTTCATTATTTTTTTGACAATAGCCCCTCCTTAAAGCATTTTAATCATCCAGAGGAGATTACTTGTGATAAGCAACTTCCTCATTATGGCTCAATACTAATTATGTGCCGACAAATATGTCAGTGAAACCCTGAAAAAGGTTGCTGTTTGAAGAGTAAGTAAAGTTTTCGAGTGTTACATGGGACAAATTGTATTAGATCTAACACTGAAATCTGTCGTTAAACTGAGTAACTTTCACAAATGGTAAAATGTGGCATCAGAAACTTTTCTATTATACTGAACCAATCACAGGTTGTTTAACTATACTAGTTAGACAACCTGTGATTGGTTCAATATTACATCTATATAAACTGTGGTTGGTTAAATTGTATAGTTAGACAACCTGTGATTGGTTCAATATTACATCTATATAAACTGTGGTTGGTTAAATTTCATTGGTTCAATTATATAGTACTATAACTTATGATGTTATAACACTTGTCATTGGTTCAATTATATTGTACAATAACTTATGATGTTATAACACTTGTCATTGGTTCAATTATATAGTAATATAACTTATGATGTTTTAACACTTGTTATTGGTTCAATTATATAGTAATATAACTTATGATGTTATAACACTTGTCATTGGTTCAATTATATAGTACTATAACTTATGATGTTATAACACTTGTCATTGGTTCAATTATATAGTACTATAACTTATGATGTTATAACACTCGTCATTGGTTCAATTATATAGTCATATAATTTATGACTGATTCAGTATTATAGAACTTTTTTGGTGGATCAACAGTATAATTAAAACAACTTTTGATTGGTTCAATATTACATCTATATAAACTGTGGTTGGTTAAATTGTAGGTTCAATTATATAGTACTATAACTTATGATGTTATAACACTTGTTATTGGTTCAATTATATAGTACTATAACTTATGATGTTATAACACTTGTCATTGGTTCAATTCTATAGTAATATAACTTATGATGTTATAACACTTGTCATTGGTTCAATTCTATAGTACTATAACTTATGATGTTATAACACTTGAATGACAAGTGCTATAACAATACTGTTGAACCAATTAGAAATGTTAATCTTTGTCATTGAATCTGTATGTAATAGAGTTGTTGTTGAATATATGAAGAACTAAATCAGTTGATAGCTTACTGACTGAGCTAGTCAAAAGTGAATTGTATTTTAAATTAACTATCCATTTGATTTGAGCAACTAAGACATCTTTAAATAATTTCCATTTTGCTTCTTTGTTGAACCAGTCATTCTAAGTGGTTCGAGACTTCGGTGGTTAGCCAATTAAAAAACCTAATTTTTACTGATAAAGTATGTTGGAAAATACGTACTTAACTGATATTAATCCATCAGTCATGGAAAAAGTGCAATCAAACAAAATCGTATATTTTTTTTGACTGATTGTAAGAAGTTCGATTGTTGATCGTTTGTAGAAGATGTTTGAATCTCTAGTTAAGTTGGTTTTCAACTCTGAGTTTATCACTTCGTTTTTTAAAAGGAAGTTCATATAGTTCTGATAACGTTAGAAGTCTTCCCCCCCCCCCACAAAAAAAAGTTAGACCAATAACATATGATTCATATAATTTTTGGTTTTTATTAAAGAAAAAGACCCCCAGTGGCACAGCAGTATGTCTGTGGACTTAAAACGCCAGAAACCCGGGTAGCTTAAGTGCTTACTATAAACAAACAAAATTTTAAAAAACTTGTGCTAACGTTAAGAGTAACTGGGACTTAGAGCAGAATTTAAGAAAAAAGGCAATACTTAAATTGTTTTCTTAGATATTTTTCGATGTGTATTTCCACTCGCATGATTCTATTCAAACAAAAAGGTATTTATTTATTTACAAAAGCACTGTGGGTATGGTTTTTATACTTTTCCTTTACTAGTATTGGCTTGAGTTATGTTTATGAATCTATTTGTATAAAGAGTATTTATTGATGTGTTTAAAGTATTGGTGGCTGCATTAATATTTTAATTATTAACATTTTTATTTTAATTTAAAACTGAACTTCTTTTAATGGTTAAAGTTGTTTTTTTTTAAGCTTCGTACTGTAATATATATGTATATTACAGCACCACCTTGTGATTGTCAAGTGAATAACCAGGACTAAATCTAAAACATGGCCTCACTTTGTGAAAAACGTTATTTCATTTATTATTTGATATAAATAATGTATTTGTTAACGACCACTGGTAAACAGTAACCCCCAAAGTGGGAGTTTTGAAATGATGACGGCCCCACGATGGGGTCGAAAGCATGTCAATAAAGTGTTGAGCATGGAAAAAAATAAAACCATAAAAGTTGGTGTGCTATTTTCTAAAGCAGCAGTACTGTGAAACGTCAGGAACAAGACAGATGTAAAATTTGTTCTGAGACACAAACATAGTTATATAAGAATGGGATTGTGTGGTACGTCGTTTGTTCTTCAGATCACCTCATTGGACTGTTGTTGTTTTGTTTTTATACCGTTCGTTACTGGCGTTGTCCAGATATTCATCATATTAAACAATTTTGTGTTTTGTCTGTTACATTACTCATTGTAAAGAACTGACCAAAAAAATGTTAAATCACTCATTTCTATCATAAGATACATATAGGTGACCCCAGTGGTACACGTACGGGTGACCCCCAGTGGTACACGTACGAGTGACCCCAGTAGGTAATAGATGGTATTTTTAGTTATGTTTTTAACGCAACTCGTACATTATTAAAGGGAAATTTAAAGGTGTTAAAACAAGAATAGCCGATTCGAGTTTGGGACAGAAATGTTCATCGGGTTTTTTTAAAATCAATCAATTAATTAATGCCATGCTCGTAAGTAATTAGGGATATAATTATGTTGATTGCTGTAATCCTTTGTGTAATTGAGTTTTAATATTTTAATGATTTAGCTTGTGGTAATTCTTCATGTAAAAATGGTGCCGAGTTTTCCAAATTTCATAGATAAAGTAGCTCACTTTATCGTACCACAATCCTAAGGGTTAAACAAAGATATACTGGTCAAGGTTTAGAGGTGTAGGAAAACTGAAACCAAACTGGATATCCGAGATTGGAAACCACCTGGTGACAAAAAATTCAAACCAATCTGCTGATAGAAAGTTATAACAAACTTGAAGATAACTATATTGTGTGAGAAGGTTAGAATCCATCTGATGACAGAAGGTTAGAACCCAGTTAGTGACTGAAGGTTGGAAACCACCTGGTGACAAAAAGTTCAAACCAATCTGCTGATAGAAAGTTATAACAAACTTGGAGATAACTATATTGTGTGAGAAGGTTAGAATCCATCTGATGACAGAAGGTTCATAATCAATCTAGAGAAACAGTGGCAGAAGGCTAGAACCCACTTAGTGACTAAAGGTTAGAATCCGTCTGATGACAGAAGGTTAGAATCCGTCTGATGACAGAAGGTTAGAATCCATCTGATGACAGAAGGTTAGAACCCAGTTAGTGACTGAAGGTTGGAAACAACTTGGCATCAGAAGGTTAGAACCCAGTTAGTGACTGAAGGTTGGAAACAACTTGGCATCAGAAGGTTAGAACCCGCTTAGTGACTGAAGGTTGGAAACAACTTGGCATCAGAAGGTTAGAACCCGCTTAGTGACTGAAGGTTAGAATCAACCTGGCATCAGAAGGTTAGATCCCACCTGATGACCGAAGATTGAAAATTATCCTGGTGGCAGGAGATTAGTTGACTCATCTACCAATAATTAAACATTGAAGTATTATTTCTTATCAAAACTTAATTAAACTAATCAAAGTTTCAACAAATGAGAAAATAACTTTGTAATTTAACACTTGAGCTAAAGAAAGTTGGAGATCATGATTGTACTTAAAGCAATAGATTCTAAACGTTAGTCATTAAGATTATACAGTCATGTAACAACTGTTATACAAAGAAACAAACTGTCCCGAGTATATCTGACAGATGATCTTTTTTTTTTATCGGATTTGGCCATGCGCAGTGGTGGATTAACCAAACATAAGCACCAAACCCCGCCATTTTCGATTTAAGTTACGACATTTCTCAGTGATCAGTTTCATAAGAAAAGTGTATATACAAATATTATTTTGCTCTAGGCCCTCGCGTTTTGGAGACGCAATTACATTTCACCAAAAAAAAAAGTTTTAAATAAAATTACCTTAATCAGAATAATGAATCCACACAAGTAATGGTTTTCAAAATGTCTTTTATTTTTTCGCCAAATTCTGTTGAAATATAAACTCCGTCAAAACGGTTTTCATGGAGGCGTAAAAAGAAAGACGCTGAAGGAAAAGTGTGAACAAAGAACATATTTCGATTTTATTATTTTTCTGAACTCAATAGATAAGTCTGCTGTAGCCAAGCATTAAATTAGGCTTAAACAAATATATGAATAGAAAATTATAAACATCTCGCTGGGTTTTGCAGAACAAAGAGGAAGAAAGAATTAACATTTTAAAAGTCTAAGAAACGCACGTGTATCACTTGACTATGGCATAGAAAAAGGGAGAATCTGGACACTCGGATCGTCAATTAGTGAGAAGGTCTTCGCTTAGATGACCCAATTCCACATGAGAGAAAACGGCCCCGATAGAGAGGTCAGCTACAGGTGTTTTGTCTATACCATAAAACACCGAAGCGTGACGTCATGTTGATACATTGTATCACGTCTTGCTCGTTCCTGTTACAAATTACAGTGGATCTTGGTTTGTTTGTTCTAAACCGCACATTGCTTCTTTGTGAAGTCATGGCTCTGTGATGAGCCCCTTTTTTGTAATCTTGTATCCTGTACTGTGAACAACGATATAACAGATCTGCTTGTCTTATAAAGAAATAATGTTTTTGTCATCTGTATTGTTGAAATCCGGTTAAAGAGAGCGTAATGAGATTTCGTTGCTATTGTGTTATTGATATATTACTATACGTTTCTGTGTTCTGAGTATGTTTGTTTCAAAGCTTCATTTCTTATGCAAATGAAAATCCAAAAGAATTGTGTGTGTGGAAAATTCTTATTCTACAGTAAGTAGCGCTAATAAGTTTGTCTTATCATTTAATGAGGATAAACCTTCAGTGGGTTGAAGTTTGTCTTATCATTTAATGAGGATAAACCTTCAGTGGGTTGAAGTTTGTCTTATCATTTAATGAGGATAAACCTTCAGTGGGTTGAAGTTTGTCTTATCATTTAATGAGGATAAACCTTCAGTGGGTTGAAGGTTGTCTTATCATTTAATGAGGATAAACCTTCAGTGAGTTGAATTGATTACCGCAATTTTTTACAGTTTTGAAACGCGATCCACAGTAGCTTCCAGTTCACCACACTAACAAGGTAATCGTTCCTTTGACAACAGAGAAAACTTCTCATGGAAACACAAGCAACGTTATTCTATTTTGAAACATCCTGTTTGCAATAAAGTAAAACAATACAGTAAATCATGTTTGGGGGCGACAGATTCTGGATTTTTAGTTAGAGGGGGATTTAAATCCTGCGATCTTCGTATAACTTTATACTACTCGTAAGTTCCCTCTTAATTAAAAAAAAAAACACTCCTTGGCGAAGGAATATCCTTTCCCATCCAGTGAATCGGTCTTGGTGTTTCTATAGCAAGTTTAAAACTTCTAAATTTTACATTATTACTTGACGGGAATGAACACACAAACAACAGGGAAAATTTGTGTTATTTTGTTTATCGGAGATCCAAGCGCTTCGTCCACAAAGTTCCCCAAATGTCAACTGGATTTTTTAACAGGTTTTGTAAAAGACGTATTTGACCTTCAAATTCATGTCAGTTTAATGTCTTGATCAATAATTTAAAGGAACTACAGGAATCAATTGTAATAAAAATGTTATTATTGATCGGTTAGCCTGATTTAGTTATAAGACAAAGAATAAGAAATCGATAAAGTTTTGTTTTACCGTATAGACTCGTAGAACAAACAAAACATTTTACATACAAACGTTCGAGAACATCAGATTAATCACTTGTCCCACGTGTTTATGTGGTAGCCTTGTGATTTGACGTTATTAGCAGTAGTTAAAGGGTTAACAAACTGTCAAACCTACCTGGTCTCGAGTTCTTCACCTCTCACAAACACGAATCGTCTAAGAGTCTAATCTCTGGGTTCACGTTTATGGTATTGCAACATTTTCGTACGATCAGTAATCGACCCTTCTTACCTCTCGCACGTGAACAGCGGTCTATACCATCTAAAATAAGGTTATTAAACAGTTTACCATCCTATTCACTAGCTACTGCCATATAACACTTTTGTATAACAACTCAAAATGCAATACTTACAACTAAATCTTACTTGGTTATTTCAGCTGTTGCTTTGATTTTCATACGATTTTTGGTTTCTATAAAGTTGTTAATAATAGCTGAACTCGGCTATTTGGCTAAATCCAACAACCCAAACTCATTGGACCTACGATACTTTCCTGTTCACTCCAGTGACTTATTGATAAATTTAAGTGGTCATAACGATAAAAATCAATTTACAATATCTGTGGTTGTCACAGCACATATAACCCATAGTATAGCTTTGTGCTTATCAATAAATAAACTTTTCTGTTCAAAAATTCGTGTAATTTGTTTCTTGGTAATTAAGGTAAAATATTAAGAAAAGAAATAAACATATTTACTACTAAATTACTCCCTCTTTCCTCTTCACAACAATCCTCCAATAATAGAAATTATGTAAGTGGTTACAGTAGCGTGAAGAGGGAGGGGGGGCGAAAGGTGCCGGGGCCCCGGGCATCCATATCGGGAGGGCATCCAACGCAAAGAGTCGAATCGAATAGTAGAACCCTTCCCCAAGGTCTTAGGTACAAGGCCCCGGGCATCATAGAACCTCTACACGCCACTGCCTTGATGTAAAACTTCCAAACTGGATATCGTTTCATGAAAATTCGCAATAGTTATTTCATAATATGTAATCAAAATTTCGCTTATCTTCGATTTAACTGTTTTTTTGTTGTTGTTGTTTTTAGTTATATTGTAAACAAAGAAGAGCTTTAAAAATAAGATTATTCAAACAAAATCCCAACATTTAAAAGGCCATGAAGTCATCTTATAAAATGATTTCCACATTTTCGATTGTTTTTACTCTAGATCAGCGAAAGTTTAAATTTTTTTTTTTTGCTTTTCACAGGACATAATATTTTTCGTTAATGTTATAATGTCTCAATTTTGAGTATTCCGACGAAATAAGCACAATCCGATACTTTTCTATTATTTTTACGCCAAAAAAACACTTTTTTTTCCATTTTTCAAAAAAAAAATCATATTTTCACCGAAAAACCAAGCTATAGCCCATGTTTTTTTACCAAATTTTGAAAAAATTGTTTTTCCTCATATGATGCCTTTGATGCAGTAGCGTGCGGGGGGGGGGGGCGAAAAGGTGCCAGGGCCCCGGGCATCCATATCGGGAGGGCATCCAACGCAAAGAGTCGAATCGAATAGTAGAACCCTTCCCCAAGGTCTTGGGTACAAGACCCCGGGCATCATAGAACCTCTGCACGCCACTGAGTGGTTATTTAAGACTGATTGACAGAAAGGAGGAATAAAATGAAACTGATAAAGCCAATGGGTTTAGATTACACGAATGTGTATTAATGGACGGTAGACGGTTTTGAAGGATATACCCTAACTTTTTTGTGTGCTAACCATGTCTTTCGAAAGGTGCTCGAGACGTTGTGGTGGCCATTTACTGGGAGCATACCAAGATATACGTAAATGTGACAAAAAACAACAACATCAACTGTAAGTGAACGGTCAAATAAACACCACATCATGTTATAATTATGGTCTTTTCGATGCTTTTTGGATACCAATACTGTTATTTTGGAACACGGTTTTAAACTCTTAACATTTAATTTAGTTTTTTATGTCAGTTTGTTAAGTGTTTTCAATAGTCTGTTGTTTTTATTTAACACGCCCACGGGTGTCAATTATTGTTGTATCGATAATGGACTTTTTACTTATGTAAAACGTTAACATTGATTGACTTAAATGCTCGGAAAGTTATAAAAGTGTATAGATTATTTTATAACATATATGAAATTTACTTACTAAGTTTCGTCATTTTGTTCATGAACTTGTTTATTAATAATTGAAAATGGTAGCTGTATTTATTTATTATGTAAATATATGTTGTTATTTTTTAGTTGGTCACTAGAGTGCATTAGACACTCAAGATTCATTGTCGAGTGTGTAATGTGAAAGTAGTTACGTTAAGCATAATGATCGTTTGGTGATATTTATTTGGTGTGCTGTTGTTTCATAATGCTATCGAACTATCACGGTGAGTCATATATATCTGTTTGTCAAAGCAGTAATTGATATGCATTATCAGACCAGGTATCGAGACTAGCATGTCCGATTTGTTCTTTCTGAAAAAAAATTAGTTTTTAAATTTCAGATTTGAATTAGGAATGTTTGGTTGTCTGGTCTAGTTTGAGAATATCACTTTACTAGTGTGGTTGATATTGTGCGATTTAGACCTAATTGTACTATAATACTTTATACTAATAGATCTTATTGAATTTTTGTTATAATCTACTGATTTTTCACCTGCGTTTGGTAGATAATCTTTACGTTTTTTTTAGTAAATATGTTGTACCATTGTATAAAAAAACAATTTGTACAATTAAGCCTAAAATAGAATTATTGCACGTTAATCTATAATTTAAAGAGGATTGCAAAACGGAAACGACTTGAAATGCGAAATAAACGGCTAAAGTCTTAAAAAATTCTCTCGTGTATTAAGACACTGAATTAGTGAAATTTAATGGCGTACATGAAAGCCAACTTTAGTTCGGTAAATTCAAGCTTTCTATGATGTTCCCTCACAAAATAAAACATTTCGTGGGTAGTTATTGTTCTTTGTTGTGTTAGTAACAGTAGGCCTAAAAAAACCGCTGTCCTTGTTTTCATCCTCAGGCTAGACCAGTTTAGGCTAGTGGCTACCACGCAAGGGTTGTGGGCGACGTTTTACCGCTTCTACTGGCTGGGACTTGTTCACCAACAATCAATTGTTTCACTTTTGTAACCAGGTTTAGATTTTTTTTTAAAGTAAGTAAGCCTTTGTACTGGATCTCTAAAGAATATGAACAATTTTCAAAACTTAGAAACATCTCGATATATTTTCCTGTACGTGAAAGTATTCAATACACTGTCGCGATGACATTCAAAACTCCCGTACCTTAAGAAAATGCTTAATGTCCAGCTCACGGCTTGAAAATAGCCTAACTACCACCATTTTAAAATGTCAGCGAGACTAAGATCTTTGTGAAGTGACTAATACAACATATACAGAAGTAAATTACATTATACATGCCAGATATATCCCAGTATAATATTTTTGACCTATCACCCTTACAAATGTTGGTTGGGATAAATGCCTTATGTGACAGCTAAGTTTATATTATCTTACTGCACTTATCTTCTGTTTTGTTTTTTCCTGAAATACTTTACACGAGTTGTTACAGATTAAACTTGTAGGTAGTTTTGTGGACAAAGTCTGTATTATCTTTCATACTTACAGTAATATTACATATTTGCTCAAAAAAAAGAAACATGATTCCTATAGCAACATATTTTGTGGACAAAGTCTGTATTATCTTTCATATTTACAGCAATATTACATGTTTGCTCAAAAAAAAAAGAAGAAACATATGTCACCAAACTGTAGAGAGTCATGGCATAACAAAAATCGCGCCGGGTCTCTTGGACCCAGGACTGCATTCTAGGGTAAAAAAAACGAACAACTAAGAGAGTTGTTTGCTCCACCAAAGTTCTTGCGTATGGTAAAGTGACCGTGGTTGAGCTGCTACAATAGACATGCGCAGACCGTCCTGAACAGGTTTATTTCTCTCCGAGTACAGTATCCATAGCTACGTGAGCCTGAACGAGGGAAGGTGGACCTGCCGCACTCTGTGTGATATAGTGTCAAGATTCGGAGCAGAAACTCGACTCGCAAACTGGCCTAGCTTCTATATTTCGTGACGTGGCCTTGCACGTGCAAGTTACCTGTAACCTGAGGCGAGTGTTGGACAGACTCCGAAAGTATCTGTGAAATTATGAAGTGAATGTTGGATTACTTTGGAAGAGTTATTCACCAGCTTCATTGAGGTATGTCATAATTTTCTAAGTTAACATTTTGGTATAGTAAGTTAAAGGTATATTTCACACGCAGCAGTTGCTAAAATAGAGCGGTAGTCATATTTCCATCAGACAAATGTAGCCATTTGGAGTCGTGGATCACTTCCAAACTATTATACCTCCCCCCCCCCCTCCCCTCCCACACACTCGAGAGTTAGCACTATTGAAAAACGGAGCGTTCGAACTGTTACAGGTTAAGAACGCTCGGACTTGTAGATAGTTTTGTGGACATAGTATGTACTATTTTAACAGCTATATTTGACTGTATGGTCAAGGAACCAGTGTTAAGTGTTACTGCAGACTTCAATAACTGCAACCTAGAGACAAAAAACAACACATTTTAATAACATTGTCTGTCTTAGATTTAGCTGCGCTGTGAAAGTAATATAACTCGAAATTCGCTGATCGTGGTGCGGGATTTGTTTTCTAGAATGAACAAATATGTTTCATATTTTCAGTTTACCAGTCATTTCGTCTGACAAATAAAAATATATCCAGTCAGTATTTTAACCAAAAGTTACAGTTGATGAAAAAAAAAGAAGTTAAAAGTGGAAAGATATACAAAACTATATAATAAAACTTTGTTGTGGTTTTTATCTTCACTGTCTGACATAAAAATTGGAAATTCTGATTACGAAGATAGTTTACTGTTTGGTAGGCATGTGTTAAGCGCTATATTTTATTTAGCTAATATGTCTAACGGAAGAAACAACGTTTTATACCAACACATTTTACAAATGTTGCCTGATTGTGTAAATATCGGCTAGGGGGGGATTACTAAAGTTTTATTCTTCCATTAGTGTGTTTTGTAGTAATTTTCGTAGCTCCAGTTTCCCGCAAGAAATCTTTCTAATGTTCCAAACCAACCAGGGGAACTAAAGGAGATGATGGTTGACTTAAATAGAAAGGAAATGATATTCCATTTCAAACTTCTAAAAAGTTTGTCAATTTTAAGTTTCAGATATATAATGAATTATTAAAAGTTCTCATTTTCTGTGTGTATAAAAACAAAGCTGTTTATCCATAAGGACAAACAAGTCGAATTACACGTTGTTATTGAAACCTACGAACTGTAACAGATACGTCATTGTTACGGTTAGTAGCCTCTACGAATATTTTAATTATTAAGTAATTATTTTTTTATTGCTCTACATATATATCCTACATTTTGGCTGTTAGTCCGCTGCTATATTTAGAGAAGTCAGAAGGACTGTGTGTGTAATCGTACGAATAGGTGGCAAAGGGATAAACCTTTTTATTGGGATGACCCAGGATCGAATTCCGAATACATCTCTTCTCAAGACTTCCCCGAAGGTGGCAGCAAATTAGCAGCCAAAGCGTAAGGTATAACCTACTTAGTAAGATCTAATAATAAAAAAGTAATTAACTAATAATTTGACTTAGCGTAAGATCGTGGCAAACGGACATAAATCTTTGTCATGGTTAGTGGTCTATAGAATCAACTAAGTACTTACATAACAAATACGTATTTAGCCATGAGGGCTAAATGGTTCACACACACACACATCATATTTCAGTATAAATGTTTATAATAACGAAACATTTTGCAAAACGCATATATCAACGTCTGTTATTTTTGATTGGATAATATACCGAGTCCGTTATTTTTGATTGGATAATTTACCTAGTCTGTTATTTTTGATTGGATAATATACCGAGTGTGTTGTTTTCGATTGGATAATATACCAAGTCTGAATTAAGAAATGAAACAATTATGTAATTGTGTATCAGAAGAAAACGAAAAAGTTTCCATGTTAAGAATTCGAACTACCAAGACTATAATGTCTTCAGAAACTATTATTATCTCGTTGTTTCTTCTTTTTTTTTGTGAATTACGAACTTTTCTGCACGGTACTTGTTCATTAACACTACTGCAATTAGTCGTAAGTTTACGGTAAACCTTTTGACAAGGTCAACTAATGTCTGTGGTTTGATGATTCGACAATGTGTATTTACTTCAGCTATAATTCTCCGAAGCTGACCAAAGATCTTATAGGTTATTAAAAAAAAATTCTAAAATTTCTATTGTTGACTCTTCAGATTAAACACTGTCCGTCCATTTCACTTTAACGTTGTCATTTTATGTCCTTTGACTTGTGGTGACCATTTGACATCGGACAGTAGCAATGGAAGTTTTGGCACTGCCCAGATGGACATTAATTTTAATTAATTACGGATCATAGGCGTTTTAATAATTTTATGTTTCATTCTTTATTAAGCACGTTGTTGATGTTTAAAACAAAGTTTGACGCAGGTAGCCGTAGTCGCTTTTCGTAAAAACAATTCCAGTAGTCAAGAATGAAAAGAACTCTGGATTATACGCAATGTACAGACTTACAGTGGCTTCAATTTGTGCTTGAGAATTTTCAACATTTCCGTCCATTCGCCTATCAAGAAATGTTCGAACCGGGAACTATGGACATTTACTTCAATAACAACAACAACATCGACTTATTGTTTGTGTAATCTGCTCGTACTGCGAAACAAGCTTGAAATGTTTTGTTTATCGTACCACTTAGAGTAGTCCATAATCTGGAAGTATAACCAACTTTCTTATACATTGATCGTTGGAACGTGTTTATCTCGCGCCATCGTTCCTACGTACCAGCGTTTCTCAACTTTTTCCATACCAGGGACCGGCTTGCTATGTCCCTAAACTGTCTCGTACCACTGAAAACCATTATAAACGTTCTGTCGCATTTTGTCTGTTTACCTGCTTTCGTGAAATACCGCGAACCGGTAAGGTGGTTGTAACTGACCGGCGCCCGTCCTCGATCTGGTGGTGGAGAAACTGATATATCAGTGTTGAACTCCCCCCTGTGTCGAATTTGAATTTATCCCCCCCTCCCCCAGCTTCATTCACATTCTCTCGCCATCTCCGATAGAAAGATCTGGATTCAAACACTGTGTTATACACTACGTTTATAGGTACTTGATGCAGGCCTACCTTATCCCACCCCCTGTTTTCATTCTACTCTCTCTCGATATAAAACTTAAAAAAAGGACACGGTATTACTGTGAAAGTTAAACTTGAATAATAATTATTAACACTATGGTTGCATCAAAGACAGCTCATCAGCAGATATTCACCTACAGGTTTTTAACGTAAGGATTGGTAACATATTTGATCATTATTATGGGAGCTCGACTCGCCATCTGCAGGTCACGGATTCGATTCCCCGTCCCAACAAACATGTGACGGTAAATCCCACTATTCGTTGGTAAAAGAGTTGTCCAAGAGTTAGCGGTGATGACTAGCTGCCTT